ACTGGAATGAAGAAATACTCACAGTAGCAATGTAGCCATAATTCTAGTTCGTTTTTGTTGCTTAGGGTTGTTTGGAGGTACGATGATTCTTTTTTTTTTTTTTAGACTATCTTTTAGCTATACCGGTTCTTTTTAAGGGATGGATTAACATGGTTTGACAAATTTTCAACTCACAGAAACATTGCGAATTAAAAAATTCTATTGGTTTATTAATGAATGTTCAGGTCCTTCAGGAGACCCTGTGGGGAGGTGGCTGGGCATGGGTTTAAGGATCAGAAAGAGGCCAGAAATGGGGTGGTGGGGGGGAATCAATGAAAACTCGAATACAAAACAGATAGTATTAAGAGAGCAACAGAGAGTCCTGTGGCACCTTTAAGACTAACAGATGTATTGGAGCATAAGCTTTCGTGGATGAATACCCACTTCGTCAGACGCATGTATTAAGAGAGTGAGACTATGGGGGAAATGACCATAGAGAACAAGAGAGAAAAATTGTAATGGAAAAAAATAAATACAGAGGCCCTGATTCTGAGCTGCACCTCTCAAAAGGAGCTCAGAAAATGCAGCCCAAGAGGCAAGGTAAGGTGGCTTAAAGTCACCTCTGTGCCTGTTGAATTCTGGGACGAGCACCCAGACGAAGTTGGAACAGCCCACATTGTTGCTCTAACTCACAGTGGCTTCCTAGAGGCACCAGTGAACTGCTCTGCCAGCCAGGGCCGGCTCCAGCATTTCTGCCTCCCCAAGCAACAAAAAAAAAAGAAAAAAAGCCGCATTCGTGATCAGCGGCGGCAATTGGGGAAAAAAAAAAAAAGCCGCGATTGGCGGCGGCAGTTCAGCGGCAGGTCCTTCGCTCTTGGAGGGAGTGAGGGACCTGCTGCCCCCGAATTGCCGCAGGTGCCGCCCCTCTCCCTTGGCCGCCCCAAGCACCTGCTTGTTAAGCTGGTGCCTGGAGCCGGCCCTGCTGCCAGCCCAGAATAGCCAGGGTAGAACACTCTGGTTAGTCAGTCCCTTACCAACATCCCTTCCCCCTCCCTCTGCTCTATGTCAAGGGCTTCAATCAGAGCTACAATGTGTCTTGGGGCCATGTACACCAATCTGGGAACAACTTTGAACCAAGGGAATTACTGATTGTGGCTTTTCTTAGCACTAGTACACAGCACAGTCTTCCCTTTAACTAGGAAAAGAACATACCCGTATTTTATTTTGCTTTTAAATCAAATCCGTCTTGGGAGAAAATAAGGCTGCCAGTTAACAGGAAATAGGGTTCACCGTCTCAAACTAGTTTTGCACATCTACAATATAACTTGGAAGGTTTGCAAAATAATCTAATTTTCCTCCCCTTAATTTGTTTTCTCTAAAGGAAAAGATGAAATAATCCTTTTTTTGTCGTAGGCTTTGTCCAGAGGTTAAGTGGGAGCCATGCATGGCACACATTACTTTCCCAATATCCCCAGATAAGCAAGGTTAACTAATCCCAAAGGGAGAAGTTCATATTGCTTCCTTGGTTAAAAGAAAAATAAATAGGATGACCAGTGGAATGAAAAAATTAAATCAGATAGAACCAAAGGGAGTGAACATTGGGAACAATTTCAGATGACCTTAGTACTGTATAATTGTATTAGAATAAGTATGAACATTAACAATTTTGGACATCTAAAATTTTAAATTAACAGCCTGAAAACATTTTACTGGGTGAAATAGAATATGATACATGGAACACAAGGTCCCCTCTGAAATTCAGCCAGCATGCTGTTGCTACTCATTTAGACAAAGAAGACAACTAGTTAATCATCACAAAGAAAATTAGACAGAGTAAATTGGTTTGCTGCATTCCAGAGTCTTAGCTACCAAAGGAGTATTTGCCACTAATTAGAGTGAAAATACTCCAAGCATGCAGTTATTGAGAGAGAGAGAGATCTTGGATTTGGAATGCTTCTACTAAACCATGAAGTTTGTGTGATACAGTTAGATTTTATCAGTTCAGCAGCCTATGTTAAGGGACTTCAACTTTGATTATATTGACTAATGACATAATAGGTTAGAATGAAAATTATCAGGCATGCTTTGAATCCTTTGTTTCCCTGGATTCTCTGAGCCCTCTAATGAAACATAAATAGGTTACATTTTAAAAGATATACTAATGCACAATTAAAATAAAAAGAGGTTAGAAATGCAGAAATTGAGTTTTCTAGAGCAACATTAACTTGGCCATGCAGACCATATTTTGACTTTTTCGTTATATTTGTACAACATTTAATTTTGAATTAGCATAAATGTTAGAGTTTAATTTGTGTATTCTTTAGATTAAGAGACGAAAAATGCCCATGCTTAATATTGGAATGGAAAAGGTTCAAATTAGGCTTTGGGTGAAGGAAAGCAGAGTTCACTCATTTGCTGCAGCAAAAGGCCCCAGATCTTCTCTGGGTTCCTTATGGATAGAGCCTGAATCCAATGACATCAGTAGGATCAGGCCCAGTAGTTGTCTAGAGATACACCCATCGCAGTGTGAAATGATGCACTATCTGCATATCTGAAAACAAGGATAACTTTTTTCCCCTAACTAACGGTTTATGACTTTCAGAATCTCAGAGAATGCAGGAGAAAATCATGGGATCCACAATATTTTTTTTCACTGATGATTTTCTCCTGTTGCTGATATTAACCAGTCATTTTTTAAGGCTTGAGTTTTGTGCATTTCCGTGAGAATTTTACCATTTCCCCTATGGAACAGCCCCTTCTCCTATCAGAGAAGAGAAACTTTATGATATCACAAAAGGTGTGGGTTTCATCAGGATCTTCTTAAAAAAAATAGATGCTAAGGAGCATGCTCAGAAGTGATTTTCTCCTTTGTTGTTCTCACTTCTTTCGAAGCGTGTCATAATTCATGTGTATTCCTGTCGAACTCAAGTGAATGGAAGCAGAATTCCTTTTTTAGGAGTTGGATCTTCCTGCCTGTTAGCACACTAACCACATCTTCCTCAGTCTTATCTTCTTTCACAAAGTTATTTTAGATTCCCATTTGGGGCTTATTCTAACAGGCATATGCAACATCTTGGGTGGGTGGGTAACATTTTAAGCCTGGTTGTCAATATATGCTTTTTCTAACAATGGCGAAACTGAGTTGTTAGTTTCTTAGGATGCAAATACTAGATTTCAGATCCTTCAGTCTGTTCTAAGTGCCTTGATTTCAGGTTGAAAATTTGTGATATTCAAAGAAGGGGTGAAATTTACATATTATGTAATTTTATGCATAAAAAAGAGGGTGCAGGTATTCCTTCTGGGAAACCATAATTTTTTTAGTTTCAGAACTACTTGAATAGTCTTTACTGCATCTTTTAAATCTCAGACTATTTCCATCTTCTGAAAGGGTTACTAAAGTGATTCTTTTTCTTTGCCCCAGAGCCACCCATTACCTTTGTTGGTAGTGACTATTTTTGTGGGTGTTTGCTATTTTATTACTTTCTATATGTAGTTGGTCACTTTTCATGAATTATGACATCTGACCAGAGCAGTGGATCCTGTGTCTGACAAAGGTAAAATCAATTTTATTTCTAATTTTGATTTCTCCTAGTATGTATCGATCCATTGCTCTGAATAGATTTTCTGGATCTGATCCAACTCTCATGAACAACAGTGGGAATCTCACCGTTGATTTCAGTGGGAGGAGGATCAGACCATCTCAATTGCCTTATTCTACATGAACTTGATCCTGCACCATTAGAGTTAATGGGAGCCTTTCCATTGACTTGAATGGTAGTAGGATCCAGCTCTGATGTGCCTGGTATACCATGGGAATCTTGTCTTTTGTCAGGACAAGAAGTAACATCAAACAGGGCTAAAATGTCATACAACTGACATTTGCAAAGTGGTTACATTTGGGTAGTTTTCTATTTCACATTGTAATTTTTTGTCTCCACATCTTTGGAAGTACCCATTAAGGGGATGGCGTCACTAGATCCACTTAATAATAAATAAGAAAATCTGCCACCTTTCAGTATCATTAGACAGGATTACCCATACATTATTATTTTTACCCAGAACTTGGATCTGTTGTAAGAGAAATCAAAATTACTTGTGCAAAAACCTTTTCAATCACTTATAACTTAATTATCACTTTATTACCTGACCAATATATTTTCAAATGGGACTGTGGTGGCACACTATTTGCATACATGCTTCAAGTTCTAAAATTCACCTGGTTTTTGTAGTATGTGTATCGAAAGAATGGTGCAGTAGAAAAACATAGAGTATGGGGTTTTGTATTTTTGTTTGTTTGCTTGTTTGGGGTTTTTGTTTTGTTTTGTTTTACCTCTTCACTCTGCAAGAACATACTGTATTAATTAATTTGTCAAACTTTCATAAAGCACTGAGATTAAGCCTTGAAAATTTCACCCCAAAAGGAAGAAAGTTTCAGAATGTTTTGAGTGAGTGAAAACAAAGGTTTATAATTGAAACAGGTTTGCAATCTTTACTATGTAGATTTCATTACCAAGAAAATGTGGTCATAAAAGAACATTGCTGGTAATTGTTTGAACTGGATCTGGAAGCAGCCGTTTGAAATCAGTCCGAATATGATAGTCTTTTTGTTTCTTTCTCTTCATTTTTCTTTTCTTTTTTTTATAAGTGTTGTCAAAACATGTGTAATAAATATTTGGACTCTTAATTTACCACAGGAGATTAATCTGAAAATCTACTTTCCTGGCTTAATTAGAATTCATTTGCTTAATTGTCATTCTGATCCTATCAATTCCAGTTTTGCACTAGCTTGAACAATGCTATCTTGTTGCTGTTTGCACTTTAATTTAGATTTCTATTATGGTTTATGAACAGTAATAAGGTTCTGCTTGAATATTCATTAACTTTTGAATTGTGAACTATGAAAAGGTGCTTTCCTTTACCTTAATGAAAGTGGCACAGCATGGGACTGATCGGTAGTGACGTTTGATTTGAGACATCCAGCAAATTTGCTCATTGTTTATTGACACATCTCGTCCAAACAGCTCCCTCGCAAGTTAGCGAAGTAATGAAAGAGAGAGTGCTGCAGAGGAGCGTGGAGCTTTCCTGGCAGGAACCAGAACATCCTAATGGAGTCATCACTGAATATGAAATCAAGTATTACGAGAAAGTAAGTGCATGTGAAATGCACAGCAATGTGCTGTTTGCATCATGTCATCCCACTCTTCCGTGGGCAAATTTTAATGCCATGGTAATTATACCATACTATTATCTGTTGTGTCATTTCAGGTTGTAGTTGATTTTTAATAACCGTCTTCCTATCCCATTAATTTATTATCATGATAGGTTCTGTATATTGTATTTGTATATTACACAAATGAAAACATCCACTCGATAGCTTATCTTGCGTGTTTTTATATGATTACAATAAGCAGGGCTCTTGTTTTTGCAAGAGACTTGTGACTTTCCTCTCTCTCTTATCCCTTGTTTTTAATACATCTAGGCTGTTGGAAATGTGCTGTTGAGATCAGACATAAAATAAAGCCCCTGATCATTTTTGGTAATAAAATAACCTATGGCACTTTTCCAGAGTTGGGCATGTTACACCTGATGTCTCAAATCTTGATCCATTTCCCCTGAAATTTCAGTTGGATGAATTATCTTTCACTTGCTCCCCTAAAAGCTCTCAATAGTGTGTTGGTAGAAAGTGGTTGCATTTCCATAGTGGGTGAAGTTATCCTTGTATATGTAGCATGAACTCCTGGCCCCAGTGAAGACGAGGGTTCTTTTGCCATCGACATCAGTGAGGCCAGGATTTTATCCATAATCTCTAAAAAAAAATTTGAATCCTCCAGAATGAAAAATGTTCTATACATGCAAGATATTAATTAGTGCTATAAAGGCTTCTAAAAAAAGGCTGAATTAAGATATAATAAAGGAAGGAGCTCTTTTGTGATCACTGTTGAGGATGTATTTTAACTCCATATCCAAGCTAATAATTATAATTATTTCAGAGCTGAGTATGTCAAGTTTCTAGGTAACATACAATTAGTTAAATTCATACCAGATTGTATCCAATATCAAATGTCTCATATAGTTTTTTGTGCTGAATAACACAAATATACGTATCTGATTATTTTTACTTGGGTTAGAAAGAAGAGTAAAAGGTAGATAGTTGAATGATCATAACTCTGAGTAACTTAGTTTAATTCCTCTTATTACAACACTTGTCAGAGAGCTGCATACTTCAATTTTTAGCTTGCAATAAAAATTTTACTGTTTCTACAAGTTAATTCATTTTTTCACAGACACACAATAGTGAAATTCTACCTTGGAATAAATTACAAGTCTTCATATATTTTTCAAATACTAAATAGTGCTATTTTTTGCAAATAAATGCCATTTTTACATATCCTAAATAGTTTCTTGCCTGTAAAAATCATCACTGATCTTTGTAAAACAGTGAAAATGCTAGATGAAATCACAAAACATTTAGCTTTTTGTGAATAAGACTCATGAGAATATGATTTTATTATTTATTCAATATATTTGTGTTGTTTCAGTGAGTTGTGCAAGAGATTTGCAATAAATGTATTAAATTACTGCTATAAGGGAAATATCTGCCAGTCATCAATTAAAATTAAATTGATTAATGAGAATTCAAGACTAAGGACCTGATCTTGCAAATATTCACTCAGAAACTAAACTTTGTACCTGTGAGTAGTCTTTTGAATTCAATGACACTGCTCACATGCATGTACAAGCAAATGTATTTTAATTTGAAATATGCGTCTGACTCTTGCTTACAGGAACAGTCACAGTTAGATAACTTAAAAAATAAAACTTCCTAAACATTCACCTTGTTTTAGAACCAAACTCATATCAAAAGTTTCTGAGGTTCTGAAATGTTCTGATTTCTGGCTAGGGCTGAAATCTTACAGGTAAGTCTGTTCTTGTGAGATTTCTAGCCCAGTTTTTTCCCCAAATTCAAGAGGTTTTCAAAGTTCAAATAAGCTTAGTTTATGTATTTGAACTCAAACTCTGAACTTCTGGAGTTCTACTGACATTTACAGTACTTAGAGCTACAGAACTATTCACCATTTCCTGGTATTTCTGCTTCCTTCTCCTCCACATCCCCGTTTCTCTCCATTCCCCCACATACACATACATTTCAGCATCCCTAACCATGCTTATAGATGATTGATTTCCTCTTGGGGAAGATATGAAAAATATTTCTACACTAACTGACATGCTCACTCGAAAGACAGAGTGGACAGACCATGGGAGAAGGCATTATCACATCTTATACAAGAAATCTGACACATCATATGAAATGCTATATTTCAACACCAGGGCTTTGTTGTTACACTGAAACACAGTGGACAGAATTCTCCACTGGTTTAATTGGGCAAAATGCCATTGAAATCAACACAGTTGCCCATATCTACACAGAAAGAGAATTTGGTCCAGCAAATGCCTTGTATGGGTTGCTATCTGAATTGTTTTGTAGTTTCTGATACAGCTTGCGTAGCATTTTAAAAAATAATGATTATGTATAGATATTGCTATTTTTAATTTTTTCTAGGTCAAATCCTGAACTCCCTATTCAGTTTTTAATCTGTTTTACCTTATGCAATGGAAAATTTGTCAATTTGCCTGAGTGAAATCTGAGTTAATAACTAGTCAAGGACCTCAGTGTTTGGCCCTGATGTTGATATATTACTATTGGCAATAAAGGGGCAGTAGAAAGCTGTAAAAAGGAAAGCAAATAGCACTGCTCTGATGAAAAAAGAGAGCTTCCTATCTCTTTTGAGGACAGTCGTAGTTGTCTGAATAAGGGGTTCAGGATGAAGACTATTTCCTGTGGAACAATACGAAAAATTGTTTTCATTAAATGTAGGAGCTGAATTGTTAAGATACCATTTTAATGTTGTTCCTCAAACAACAGAGAACTTCTTTGGAGTTCACTGATGATCAAACTGTTCATACATCAGAATCTGAGGAAGTGAGGCACAAAGCCAATCATTTTATCTCTGGATTTTTATGACTAACAGCATGTGCTTCCCATTTAAATTTTATGTCATTTTAAGAACCCCTCAATGAATGACACTGTGTTGTAATACTCCACAGAGTGTGCTACATTCTTTATATGGGAGAAAAAAGAAAAGAAAATTGAAATAAACTGCCAGGACCAGTTGTCAGTTGCTTATGTGCAACAATAATGAAATCTGACCTGGAAATATAATTTCATCCTTTGTTTTATTGTTTCTAGGATCAAAGGGAGAGGACTTATTCAACAGTAAAAACCAAGTCCACTTCAGCTTCCATTAATAATTTGAAACCAGGAACAGTGTATGTTTTCCAGATTCGTGCTTTTACTGCTGCTGGTTATGGAAATTATAGTCCCAGACTAGATGTTGCCACACTAGAGGAAGCCACAGGTAAAATGTATTCACGTTTGAAGGCAATTAACATTTTTAGTTGAAAAAATGAATATACTATAGTGTTATCTGAACTAGAAAGGATGGAGTTTGTACTATGAAATCTTATACTTTGGGAAGACATGAATTACTACCATTGTATTTTGGTATGGGTGATGAGCTGCCTATTGTGTTTTACCATAGTTACTAGTAATTATAGTGCTGTAGATAGCCAGGGAAGAATTGTAAGTTATTGGGCTACTCCTGTCTGATGGCCCCATTCTATAGGGAGAAGGGATGTTTGGCCCAAATACTACCCTATGCTTTCCCCACATAAAAGGAGATTGGTGGAAAGAGGGAGGACCCCACAGGACTTTCCAATAATAGGGAATGTGCCTCTACTCACACTTTGCCAGATCATTTACTTTTTTCTAAGTACATAGCCTTCTTTTCCTCCTAACCCTTCACCACCACATAGCTACATATGTTGAGGACTGCAGAACTACAGCAATTCTTCCATGTTTTGTGGGACCAGATGGGAGAGGAAGCAGAAGAGCGAGGAGCCTGAAAATGTTAGTCACTGAGCTCTAGAAACATTGAGATCCCTTACACGAACTACCTACCTGGCAGGACCACAACTCTGCTGCCTCTAAAACAAAGGTTTCCCTGTTTTGGGTCATCTGCTTCAGGTAGACCTCTCTGCCAAACAACTCAGCCTGATGTGCAGCCAAAATATGTAGCCTGCGATTGCTTGCAAGGTGAAAAGGCCATGGAGTTAGTATGCTAAATGTGGTATTCCTTTATGCTTTGAAGAATTCCTGTACCAAGATACACATTCAGTGCCTGACTTTAATTGTATTTAGGTATTACAACCATGAGACAGAGGAAGTTCATAGTTAAGTCTTGCCACTGACCTTTATTTGTTTGAAATAACGGAAGACTGTGAAAATGAAGTTCCGTGCAAATTATAGTACATCCTATTCTTTCCATTTTAGCCAATCTGTTGACAGATTTTGCTTTGAATAGATTTCTGGCAAATAAATTCAATGTTTAGTCCTTATTTATGATTCTCTCTGTTTTAGGCACCCATCACCTTGGTATTTAAGTTCTAATGATCAATGTCTCTAATTTAGTGTCTGTAATCTGTTTCATTTTGGTTGACCAATCAAGAAGAGGTTCTCCATGTTTATAGTCAATGTTGTAGACCAGAATAGTCACTGAGATTAGCATAGATAATTTTAGGAGCAAACATTTTTGGCAGGATCTACAAGTACCAGTATGTATGCCAGTGGTTCTCCACTTATTTATCATTGGGGCCGCATATGCCGCAGGAACCGGGTGGCAGAGCAGCAGCAGCCTGGACCCTTCCCACTGTGCAGGGCAGGCCGGCTGGCTGGCTGCCCCAGACTCCTCCCGCCATGCGGGGCCGGCCTTTAGCGCGCAGCAGAGCTGAGCCGCAGCTGTATGATAATGGGGCTGCATGTAGCCAGTGGGCCACAGGTTGAGAACCGCTGATGTATGCCAACATTTGACAGACCAGGAAAAACAATAGTGTAAATATTCCACAGGCTTTTTTATGTATCCCATTTTTGACTCTTATAATGAAAAATTTCAGACAGACTAACAATACAGTTACAGTTATCCAGTACGCACTGCAAAACTTTGAAATTTGAAATAGGCAAAAGCATGTCACAGGGCAGCTTTCTGTTGTGACATACCTCATAAGCTGCCTCATTCCTCAATTAAAAAAAAAATGGTTTTCACTTTGAGAGGAATGCCGCAGGACACAATTGTCTCTCTCATCAAGAATAAGCAACTTCTCCTCTCTTTTCTTCTCTTCCGTATATGTTCTTCCATATACCATTTTTCAGAAACTGGGATGGAGGATATTTTAGGTTAGTTATTTGCACTGAATTCTCCTTTGTCACATGTATCTGTACTACTGGCCTTACCATATCATTTCTGGTTTATGTCTTATGTTCCTATAGCTCATGCTTCAGAGCTTCAGACAGCCAACGGCAGCAGTCAACAAGGGATTTTTTTCGCCCACAATATATTTAGGGTTTATTTATCTCCTTTCTCTGAAGCATCAGGGACATTGAGTGGGGTGGGGCGGGGCTCTGAAGTGGCACTGAGCATTATTTCTCTCAGGTGCTTAGCTGGGAGGTTCTTTCTCATATGATCAGGGTCTGACTGTTTGCCATATGTGGGTTCTGGAAGGAATTTTCCCCAGGTTAGATTGACAGTGACCTTGGTGGGTAGGGGTTGCCTTACTCTGCAGCATGTGGGTACGAGACACTTGCGAGGATATCTGAGTATATCTTACTTTATCATTTCCCTGCCATTGCTGGGGCCTTGGGCATCGTGCCCCTTGGTCCCTCCTGTTCTCTGCCTGTGGACAGAATAGTCTAGTCTCCTGTGGGTTGTAGCACTTTGGTTTCATTTCTGTTGTTGGGTTTAGTGTGTGGGTGCTGGGTGATGTTGGTGGCCTGTGATGTACAGAAGGGCAGACATGTTCTTGTGGTCCCTTCTGGCTTTAAACTCTGTGACTCTATTTCATAATTTAATCTAATTGAGGCTTTGGTAGCATTTAGAAGGGAGACCTCCAAGAAAACTCACAATGCTTCAGGGAGCTGAGCAGATAAATTTGTATGTGACTCCCATCAAAGCGAGAAGCACACTAGTGTTTTGTAGTAGTGGTGGTGGACCACTGTCAGGGTGACCGGACGTCCCAATATTAGGGGCTTTTTCCTGTATAGGCAACTATACCCTCTTCCCCCCCCCAAAAAAGGGTCCCTGATTTTTCACACTTGCTATCTGGTCACCCTAGTCACTCTACTGCTGAGGTGCCATCTTCCACATGATTTCTTGAGCTGGTTCTTGGATCTGGCTGAAGAGATGAGATCCCATGAATGACATTTTTGAAATAGTGATGGTGATAACCCTGGTGTTCAGCATCCAAATTCAGATAAATATATTTTGCCCACCTAAATTTTCCATCGAGTTTCAAATGTGTTTTCACTTATTATCCCAAATTGCTGTGTGAACCGTGGTGCTGTACTCACTAAAACAGATATTATCTTCCATTCTGGATGGCAGCACTTCAGTACTGGGAGAAGGAGACCCTTTATATAGTAAACAAACACAAATTTCTGTGCTGTATATATTTGTATAAAAGGAGTTTAAGATTATCTGTAAAGGAAGATATGTGTATTCTGTATGTCACAGATCAAAGTATATGAATCATTATAAGACATTCATTGGTTTGTAGAGACACAAGTCCCCTGGGGAGTGTTATAAATCTACATGATGTCCCTCAAATGATCATTTTGTCTTTTGATTTGTTGGATTTATTTGAAAGACGGTTTAAATCACTTACGGCCAGTGGATCTGAAGAGGTTCATGGGCACTATTTATTCCAGTAAGTATATGGAATATATTGTGCTCCTGAATTGTACTCTTGAGTTCAAACAGAAATAAGTAGCGAGCTGGTTGAAAAACTGGATATATTGATATTTTAATCAAAACTTTGATAGGAAAAAAAGGAACTAAATATTTGTGACTGTATGAAGACATCTGTGAAGTAGAGCTACAATCTTCCTGCTTTTTTCAGACCACACACTGTTTGAGGGATCTTTCACCACAGACAGCGCATTAGACAGGGATGCCTGTTCTTAGATGGGGATGTACACACTTGAGGACTTCAGTATCAAAGAAAGATTTTGTGGGGAGCCTGTTTTAACCCTTCTTACACAGGATTCCACTGTGTGTGTGGGAGGGAGGGGGATAAACTGGGATCAGAATCAATTATTTAATATTCCAGGCATCCAACTGTAGTTTTTAATGAGTTACCTATCTCACAAGCATGCAAAGTGAAATCTATTTGGTCTAGAATTAGCATTTCAAAATTATGGGCTTTGATAGGAAACTCTATCCTCTTCATAACTGTGGCAATCAAGGAGAGTTTAGTGCAAATAACTACTCCATAATTGGCGGTTAGAAGTTTAAGTCCATCTTCATATATTCCCATTATCCACTACAGAGGTAGTCCATTAGGCATCTCCATAACTTTTTAACCCTTTGGCTTGTCAAAGCTGACCCAAATCATAGTTACCCATGACTACCTTTAATAACTTCTCATCCTTATTTAATGCTTTTTATCGGTAGAGCTCAAAGTGCTTTACAAAGCAGGTTAGTATCATTATCCCCATTTTACAGGTGGGGAAAGTGAAGCCCAGAGAGGTGAAGTGACTTGCTCAAGGTCTCCCAACAGGGCAGAGCCAGGAATAGAACCCGGGTTTCCTCAGTTTCAGAGCAGTGCTCCCACCAGGAGGACCTGTTGCCTCTCTGGACTGTGCAACAGACATTTCTTGTGCTCCAGATTAAAGAGTAGACATGTATATGAATAATGAGATCTTCCAGAGTTATATCAGATAGGAAGTTTGAAAAATATAGTTCGGAAAGGGTTTGTATCCTCATTGTTCAGGGAATAAACATTTTCCAAACTTAGGAGGGTTAGGAAGAAAGGTCACTTATTGGCAGTTTATTCCATAACTGCCTACTGAGTGGTTTCTTGCACTTTCTTTTGAAGCAACTGGTATTGGCCACTGTAAGAAGCAGAGGAATCATGCTGATTGGCTCACCTGCTGCCAAACAGAGCAAAGAATATCTGAGTTTTGTTTCCATGGGAATTCTGGAACAGGAACCTGATTTTGAGGTCATTTCAGTGGCCCCAGACCTGTGGAACTCACAGGGCCCTGGCTCCAGCAGTTCTTGTTTAGTTAACAGTACAAAGTCTTAATCATATAAAAGTACCATCTCAGATGTACTAAATGAGCCATTGCCACACTTTCTTGCTCTTATCCCTCCACTGCCTCCAAATGACTCACTTCCAAAATGCTTTTTTCAACAATGTTGCCTGACATCTGTTACTTGAGTCTAAAGTTCATGGGCCAGATCCTCAGTGGTGTAAATCAGCACAGCTCCATTGACTTCAGTAGAGCTCTGTTGATTTACCCTTTCTGAGCATGTGGCCCCCTCAATATATGGTGAGCAAGCCACATACATTTCAAACATAGAGATTCCTCAAGCAGGGTGCTTATATCCTCAGTTTACATTAATCTGACATATATATTAACAATAGTAGGGTCACTGAGTAAAAAAAAAAATGGAATCATGTGCAGATTTCTTGGAATGTAAGTCCTTTGAAGCAAGGATTGTGTTTTCTCTTGCATTTGGAAAGCACCTAGCACAGTGGGTGCATCTGGAAACAAATGATAAATAATAGTAATGATAATTATAGCAATGAAAATGATCCACAAGAGACAAAAACATGATGATTCAGAAATTGATGCACATAGGGCTCCTTTAGGTTGGGTCCAGTCCTAGAAAATAGTTATTGTGTGCTTTCAACTAAAACAGCCTCACTTGTAAAGTTCTGTTCCCCCTGGATACTCATTAACTCACCCAACATTTCTGGTGAATTTAGGATAGATGCCTTTCTTTTAGACCAACATTATCGTAACATTTAATGTCTGTACAAAGTTTCAGGTTACAGAAGAGGTAAACGATCTGTCTGTGATTTATGAGGGTTTATTTAACCTTTGCAGTTCCTTTCTACAGTATATTTTGAGTTAATCTGTAGCTCTTTGCTCTGTTTGTAGCCACAGCCGTTTCCAGTGAGCAGAATCCTGTCATTATCATAGCTGTGGTTGCTGTGGCAGGCACCATCATTCTGGTCTTCATGGTGTTCGGATTCATCATTGGACGAAGGTACTGTACGTTGTCTAGCTGTCAGCATTTCTGGCCCCACTGTTGTAGAGTCCTTAGAATTATACCAGCCTGTATCTTAGAATCTGTAAATGGAAACGAAAGCAATGTATAATCTAATATGGACAATTTAGCTCTAAATTCCATTATAGGATGACAAATTAGCCCACTTATTTTACATTTGGAAGAACTCTGTTAGTTTAAGAAATTCTTCTTGTCTTATAGTAGGTGTCTTCTAAATATTTGCAGCTTCTCTGATCTTTTTCCTTGAAGTGTGCTATTTCTGTTGAATTGTTCACACATAGAGAACTTGACATTTTACCTATTCAGCCATTCAAATAACACTTGCATTTGGGGACAAGAGGCAGAGAAGTAAATTTAAGAGCAGCATCATGTCAAAAATACCATCCTTGTCTCTCCTTCTTCAGACTCTTTAATCTTCAGGCTATTTTGCTCATAGCATCACAGAAAGTTTCTAATGAGGACTGCAATTTTGTTGTTTAAGCCTTTAGGACTCTTCCCAGCAATTATTAGATACAAAAGCCTTTTGATTGGAACTGTTCGTGTTTTGTTTTAAAACCTGTTATTGAAAGAATTACAGCTGGGATATTTTTAAAATGCCTGCTGGAGTTAGGCTGCTATTCCAAAAATTCCAATCTGGTAGAACTTTAAATATGATGCAGTAAATCATTATTTTCTTGTAAAACTGACCTATTTTATTTTATTTTTTTCAGGCACTGTGGCTATAGCAAAGCTGATCAAGAAGGGGATGAAGAACTTTACTTTCATTGTAAGTGTTTTGCTTCCCCCCCACTCCTCAGGAATTCCCAACCCAATTATAAGACATTTGGACTAGCGGTATTGGAATATAGACAATACCAAAACCACATTCCTATAAAGAAAGGGCTATAATAAATCTGAAATGCTGTGTAAACAGCAAGTGTGAATTTAGAAACGATAAAAATATATGACCTACACAAAAAAGGAGACAGATTATAATCAACATTGTTCATGCCATGCATTTTATTTCTGTACATTTGTGTGATATACTGTTGTTCCCATTCTGCATTTTTCTTCTGAATAATTGTTTCACACCATCCTAATGATCCCCCTGGAGATGCTGTAAATTGATAGGTCCTTGGCCAAGTGACTGTGTGAGCTTTCCCTCAGGCAAGCTTCTGATTAAGAAAGTAAGGGTCACTGTGTTACCCCAATAGTGAAACTGTTCTGGTCAAGAACTGTTTTCTGTTACTGTGAACATTGCGTCACTGACATCTGTAGATCGTAATATTAATAGAAAATAAAATAAAATGATGTGAAAAAGGCTCATCTCTGTAATTCCCAATCTCTGCATTGAGTCGCTTGCCTCGTTGCAAAAATAGCACTAAAAACTGCTCCCACTGAAATCAGTGGTGAAAGATTGGCCTAATACCTGTTCACCCAGTATTAAGGAATGCTGTCAAGACAACAAGAAGGTTAATAGATACTCAGTACATTTTGGTTCTGTGCCCATTTCTCATACTTCATTAGGCAGATTATTATAAGACTTATTAGAACCATGCAAAAATAGTTTGACCATCTGTATCAGTTCAAACAGGTAAAATATAATAATAAAATACAGCGTAATTGTTTTTCAGTAGAGCCTTCAGGAATCTTTTGACTACATTTTTTTTTCATTGGAAAATGCCAATTTATCAAAACCAAAATTTTTCATAGATGGTTCTAACAAATGTCTCAACTCAAAAAATTTGAAAAAGTTTTGTAATTGTCCAAATGTTTTGTTTCAGCATTTTCCAAACAAAAAATTCCAGTTTTGGAATCAACATTTTATTTTAAAAACGTAAGCTAATTGTATTAGAAATAAATTCAAAAACTTAAAAAATGATCAAAAAAGGAAGAAAATGTTACAATTGATGCAAACAGAATTTGTTTTTATGATTATTATTTTCAGTTCACAATTTCTTTTTTTAAGATTTTTATTACAATTTAGGACAGGATTTTTTTTTTTTTTAACTCAAAAATTTTCACAGGACACGAAAATCATTTCCGATCCAGCTCTAATTTTAAGCTGTGATACAAAATAATTTTCTGATTATGCCAGTATCCTCTCATACCTTATAATTTAAATATCAATAGAATACTCTGTTGATTCTTACCATGCGACCAATTATCTTTATCACTTACTGTCACTACAGTCATAGGTTCATTCCTACAAATGACTGCTACCAAAAATACATTTTTTAATCCTGTATTGCTTTGTGTTAAAGTTACTGTGTCAGTAGTTTATCAGGGTCTGGTATCACATAGTGAATGAGGCAGTTACTAGTCACAAACCTTACTTTCTAGCATCTTCTTAGTGCAAAACTCTTTAAATTAGTAAGGCTAGCCAAAGACTCAGGTCAAAGTTGTGTCAAGATTTCTGTCTGACCTTTCTAGTCTGACAATATTAGGTCAGCTTGGACTCCCTGAGTTTTGGATGTGTCACTACCTTAAGTCACTTCATTTATGTGCAGGGTGTATTAAATCAAATGGTGACATCATTACAGCCTTAATCAGACAACCTACTATATTGTACATAAGAAGTGGAAAATAGAAATGGGAGAAGGATTAATTATCACATAGCCTGCACTCTAGCTTATTTTTAAAAAATGCATCAGAAATCTAATGCTACTTAACTGTAGCTACTCTAGAGGGTGACAGATTTGAAAATTGCCTCTTTTCATTTACAATATAAGCTTTATACATCTCGAAAAGATCCACTTCTTTTTTTATCTGGGAGGGGAGAAATCAATTGCATTTTTTTTATTTGCCTATAAAGGCAAAAGAATATACCAGCTAAAGAATTCCTTCCCCCAATATAAATTATGAATGCTCATTTTCAGATTTTAAGTTTCAATGAAGATGTAAAAAGGTTGATGAGGAATCTAGTGCTTAATATTCAGGAGCTGATCAGGAAATTCTTTCTTTCTAGAAATCTAGTTATCTAATATTCAATAACTAGAAAATATGTCAGAAAAGCTAACATACACTGCCTTTATTAATACTGTAGGATGAAATATTAAAAATTACTTTTTTACCAAGCTATTTTTTAATGTTTTTGATGGAAAGTTTGGTATTTAATTTGATTTGATGACTGTATCCCCAGTGCGATAAAACACAACACTGTGGTCACCAGCTATTTACAATTTGGTGTCCTTTTGTTCCTTTAGTATCCAGACAATTTTCTTATGTGCTAAGACACAGATTCAATTTTCACAGTAACTTGAAAGCAACCATTTAACTAGCTTTTAGAGCACTGCATTTAATAGAATGTCCAATCTTTTATTTCAATCCCCCTCAACTTTCCATGGCCCCAAGTGCTACATTTAAAGATATAAGCACAATGGAGGAGTTTTGTCAAGCAATTCCAATTTACATTTTGTTTCCTCCTACCATTTCTTTTAACAATGTGTTCGAATCCACAGCAGCACTATTTCACGTTGGTATGCCAAGATAGCTTTGGCCTGTCAAAATGTTTTATGACAGCTTGAATAAAGAACCATCAGAGCCCCATTTGAGATTCACAAGGTTACCTCCAATCCAGGCCCTTATCACAGACACAAGAGGATGGCTCATTCTCCATCTGTCTGCCTGAAAGCACAATAGAGGAGGTTAACCTATTGTTTTCTTCTTTCTTTCTCTGATCTTCTTGTTTCATTTAAATGACAAATAAATGTTTATCTGCTCAGAAACTTGAAACATTGTCATTAAGATTAGAAATAAATCTGTCAAAATACAGATCATAGCAAAAATTTACTTCTGGGTGAAATCTTAAATAATTTCTACAGGAATTTGGTATAGTCATTTGGCTCTTCAAACTTCCTATATCTGGTTTTGCCTTTTTCCATTATATGATCTTTTTTAATGATTTTATTTGAAACATATTAACACATACCACTAACTGAGCTATTATTAATTACATTTCAAAATATGCAATACATTCATACATAACTAAGAGGTTGCATAGCACCCTTAAATTATCTGTGTTTTGTATTGACTTCTGATCCAATTCCTACATCTCAATATTTCAGCAATTCAATATTGTTAGAATAAGAACATTCTTCCTTAATTTCATATAGAGAACAATTATTATATCTTTTTAAATAGTCTGATTTGATTGCAGCCAATTATTGTAATGATTGGGATCCAAACTTCTTCCATAACAATAATTTGGTTAACAGACTTTTAGCATGGACCCTCAAACTTATTTTGGCTTTACCACAAGTCCCGAACAAAGGGCAACGTGTAGTTGTGTTGCCCCAGGAGCAAAGCAGAAACCGATTGTCCCTTGGTTACCCCTCTGCTCCAGGAAGGAAGCAAACTGCGTCAGCCATATAACTGGTGCCCCCTACATCCTCAACTGAGATAGTTGGTGCATAGGTGGAAGGGGACTGGATCCAAGGTTCCACCCACTTACTCCCTTGCTTGGGAAGGGGAGTATTTGTCCCACAGAATCTGCTCTCCCATCCTGTGTTTCTTCCATTGATGTGGGTAGCCCACAGAGAGTAAGGACGTTCCTGCTGTCCCCTTGCACACCAGCTCAGGAGTGTAGCCAGCCTTCTAATGTGGCCTATGAAATGATGGTTAGCTTCTGTAACCGTCTGTTAAAGTATATTGAAACAGCAGCGGGAGCTCTCCTCTCCCATCCAAAGACAAGGGGGAGTTGTGGGAGAGTGCTGCTTACCCAGGCCAGGAGAGGAGGAGGTGAGTCCTCTCTACATTTTTTTGCAGGGAGAGCTGTCCCTTCCTTCCTCCCAGTTCCCTCTTACTTTAATCCCTGATTACTTTTCACCCATTGAAAACTATTTAATATTCATTACTTTTATGAAATACTTCACATTTCCAGCCACAGATGTGGTTGCTAATGACAAAGGATCAGGCACTTGTGCGAGGAAGCTTACAGATGATGCCTCAGACTAAAGTTGCCTCTTAAAGCTGCTCTGATTCAGGTGGCATGGAAGCAGGTTCACTGTTCCAAGGAGCATTCTGCATAATGAAATTCCTGGGCTGACTGCACAATAAGTGCTTTGCTTCATCACAGTCATGCTTTCTTACATCATTACAGTTAAATTTCCAGGCACCAAAACCTACATTGACCCTGAAACCTACGAGGACCCAAATAGAGCTGTCCATCAATTCGCCAAGGAGCTAGATGCCTCTTGTATTAAAATTGAGCGTGTGATTGGTGCAGGTAAGGCTGCTGTGGCTTCTGTATTCAACTGTTCCATTTAGCTGGGATCAAAACTCATACATCATAATGACAGGCAAATAATTATACCTCGGGTATAGAACTTTTTGCATTTACCAGAGCGGATAGAGCAATGAAGCTGCACTTGCTTATAAAATGTAAAAAATAATTATAGAAAAATAAAGAGGCTTGTGTGGGATTAAAAGCTTGTATGCTTCTAATTCCAGATCCATTTTAAAAAAATTACAAATAATATTATTACTTTTTTTAAAGTAATTTTTGTACCTGTTGTTCTTTGTCAGAGTAAAGAGGTTGGATGTTAGTGTAAATCCTGCTTACTTTACTCACATAAGTAGTTCCCTTGACTTCCATGCATTAAGAAAGCAGGATACAGCCTGTAATGTATGGTCTAATGAGGCCTTTTTAATAGAACAGAATCCTCTTTTAAAACTTTTTGTTGCAACTGTTCTACCCTTTTTTAAAAAAATAAATATATTTTATTAGTACAAAAAAGTTCTTGTTTTACCTCTCATGCTGGATTGTAATTGTACTGGCATTACATTGTTTTTCTTCCTCTTGAACTGTCTACCACCTACTTAAGCAGTGTGGTGTTCATACTCTAAAAAACCAGTTTCATTTGTTTGCATTAATGAGATATGTGACATTTTTATTGCACTAGTCGATGTAGTGAAATTAAGTTTCCATGGGTAAGAAAAATATCAAATACTTTGGATTCCTGGAGGAAACATTCCTTTGCCTTCCTGTTCTTTTTATCAAGTATTGTTAGAATACTTTATCAATCACCCTACTATGGTTTGTCAAGCACTGTATATTATGTGTAACATTGCTATTTAAAAAAAAATCTCTACAAATATTAAGTTTTAGGCTATAAAAAAGAATGACAGCACTTAGAATTAGTTAATGTTCCACTCTCAGAATCATGTTCCTTAGGTACCCACACACATGATGAATGTTACCTTACTTTAGGTGTAACCCAGCTGAAATTAATAGAACTTCGTACGCAGTAAGCTGCTACTCAACATGAGTAAAGGCATCAGAATCAGGTTCTTAGGTCTACACTACCACTTTCTTCGGTATAACGTACGTCGCTCAGGGGTGTGAATAAGCCACACACCCCCACACCCCGAGCGACGTACGTTACACCGACTAAGCACCGGTATGGACAGCACTATGTCAGCGGGAGGGCTTCTCCTGCCAACATAGCTACTGCCCCTCGTGGATTTATGTGCAGCTGCACCAATGTAGCGATTCTAGTGTGGACTAGCCCTAAGTAAGTGGCATTTAGCATGATACTAGAACAACAGTATCTCTTTCCGTACAGCATTACTCTTTATGCTGCTGGTTTTAAATTCTAGATTGGCACAGTACAATCAGTAAATATGGTCTTTGCTGGTTTGCTAGTCCATTGTTTGAGATGAGAGACTACCACAGCAACAGGTTCAAGTAAAAGGCTCCTCCTTTGACTAGGCTGAAATGATATTTGTCAAGCCACTTTGAGCGAAATCCTGAAAAACATCACATGTAAACGAGGTGGAATTTAAGACAGAAATCCAGTTCTGCTGTCACTTACAACAGTGTAAATCCAGAATAACTGTTGGTATCCGTGGAGTTACTCTGGATTTGCACACACATAAGCAAGAGCAGTTTCTTTTCAGTGTGTAAAGTGGACTTTCTGGAGCATGTAAATTAGAAGCAGAGTTCTATTGTGGTGCAAGTGTCATTTTTGCTGGGTTTAGCTGTGGTCCAAATCAGTGGATGCGATTAGCTAGCAAGATTGAAAGGGAAGGTATACCTCTTACAGCAGGCTGACAGAGACACAAAGGAACTGCTCTACTATACAGCAAAGAAGACTATAGAACGTCTGCTAGGGACAGTCAGAAAAGCAGCATAGAATTCTCAGTGTGCCTCAGTTATTATGGTAGGATAGAATACTGAGCCTGTCTTGGATGAGTGCTGTGTGAGCATGTGTTTGCTGATTTTCACAAGGGTTATGGGATTTTTCTTGCTAACTTTGTCATTGCCATCCTGCTGATGCCACCTGTTATATGCAGGAGTTGGTGCCACTGTGCTGAGTCTTTGTTCTACACTATAGCCTTTTGTTTCTACCCAGTTCCCTGGTGACATGCTGAGCCAGTGGATGCTTGGCTGTGAGTATTACACACTCTGTGACATATCTTCTGGGGCCATCTATGGGCATGGCCTTGAATGCCTATGCCAGATGACCAACTTTAGCAGTCATTATGATTGGACAAGCAGCGTTTGTGAAGGCGTTTAGACCTTGCCAACGCATGCTGTTTTACTATGTGTGTGTATGTTCCTGTTGTGCTGACTGGTAGAGCTGTTTGGAACAAATATACACTTTCATCATTTAATCAAACAGAGCATTTTGGTTTCTGTGAAACTTTCATTAGAAAGGTTTTGATGTTGGGGCATGGGAGAGAGAATTTACCCATTTCATTGATTAATTAAATCAATATCTTCCATTTCATAAACTTCAGTGTGATTATTCTAGTTTTTGACAGTCCTTTACAGCCTGATTCTGACCTCATACCAGTATAAATTAGAAGTAACTCGAAAACAGGTGTGAGTTAAGAATCAGGCCTAAAAAAAGCAAGGAAATCCATCATCCTTTACAAAACTATTTTATTTTACATATTTAAAGAAAAACATTACTGATATTTTATAAAGACACAAATATTGGGGGGGAGGAGGAGACTGACATAAAATGTTTGCTGTTTAGGCCCGATTCCTCAAAGAATTTAAGCATGTACCTAACTTTAAGCTCTTGAGTAGTTCAGTTAAAATCAATGTGACTATTCATGGGATTAAAGTTAGGCATGTTCTTAAGTGCCATGTTGAATGAGGGCCTCAGAGAGGATATTATATAAATGAAATGTCATTCATAGTCAATCTGCTTTATTTTAGGAGAGTTTGGTGAAGTGTGCAGTGGGCGTCTGAAACTTCCAGGCAAGCGAGATGTTTCAGTAGCCATCAAAACCCTGAAAGTTGGCTATACAGAAAAACAAAGGAGAGATTTCCTGTGTGAAGCAAGCATCATGGGACAATTTGACCATCCCAATGTTGTTCATTTAGAAGGGGTAGTTACCAGAGGTAAGTAGTGACTAGATGTATCAGTCAGATAATAAGCAAAATGGCAGTAATTGCTATAATGTCCATGGTCAAAGATTCAAATTAGAAATGTACTGCATACTCTTAATGGATTTTCTCCTGAGGCGTAACTAACTGAAACAATATTCACTTTATGCTACAACCTGAGGAAAAAATTAAGATGCACACATGATTAAAAGATGGAGTACTTTGAAATACACTATTTTTCTAGGTTCAATTAGCCTCAAAGACCGTGCCGGAAGATAAGGTTTCTTATGTCCTTTCATATTATCTGAAGTGTCATTTTCTCAGAGTCCTCGTCACACAGCAGGAGTCAGGAGAACACGCTGACATTTTGATTTGTACGGTTTAATTTTGCGAATCATGACCATGCTCCATGCAGACATTTAAGGACTTAGAGCTCAGTAACAGTGCTGGAGGCTTCAAGAATGTTGGTCTCAACTATTCAGCCCTTTTATAGGAGCAATATGTGTTTTATCAGAAAAAGGCACTCAGTTCAGATTATGGGTTTTCAAACAAAATGTCCTTTCTGTTCCTTTAGGGAAACCAGTCATGATTGTAATAGAATACATGGAGAATGGGGCCCTAGATGCATTTCTTAGGGTGAGTACCTAAGGGAAATATGTACAGTACTTCAAAATATATATTATGTGTGTTACCAATTTAGCATAATAAAACATTTTCGCAGTCTGAAATGTGAACATGGCAAACACCAATAGATCTTTAAATTGTCCCAGCAAAATCAGATTAGAAATCAGAAGACCAGACAGGATCAAACTGATACATTTCTTGGCATTTAAGTGATCCAATGTGGTACAGAAATCGTGGTTTTGATTACCATCGTAGATTGAGGTTAATACCATGATACCTGAAGCCCTGTCGTGTGAACACATTTGTTTAGAGTAGCAATTTATTTTTTTTAGCATGGTCGAAGTCACTGCACAGGAATCCCTAAATGAAGTACAGCAGTACTTCAGAGAAGAATGAAGGGAAAAGAAAAACTACTTTGTGACAATTTAACATTTGCTGAGTGAGTGCTCAGAACTGCCAAGCAATGTCTTCACCATGTTAGCATTCCACATGTAGAAGCCATAAAATGTAGAATGACTTGCAAGATGGTAGAGAAAGCAGAAAGATGATGATGTTTCCTTGATAAATTCTATGCTGTAAATAAATCTTCAGTATTTAGGATAAACAGAGGCTTTGATCCCAAAAGTGTAATACAGTTTATTTTTTTATATATATATATTGATCATTGTAAAAGGTGACGAACATGGAGGCGAGTTACAAACAATGCTATATAAAAAGAACCTGTCATGTCACAAGTTAATTAGGCTTTTATAACTTTTAACAGGTTCCATTAATTTTAAAAGTTTAGCTATTCAGGCCTTTCTCAACCATGTGTCCTGCTTTGTGGCTAAAACAAATACAGTTTTGTTTAAAGTGGATTGCTTTGCCCTGAGATACATTGCCTTTGGGGTAATAAGTGACTAGAGTGAAGAAAGTGTGCAAAGCTGATTTTCTTTTTCCCCCTCAAGTGCATTAACAAGTGTGCTGCTCCTGTCTTCCCTTCAGAAACATGATGGGCAATTTACAGTCATTCAGCTAGTGGGAATGTTGAGAGGAATTGCTGCCGGAATGAGATATTTGGCTGATATGGGCTATGTACACAGGGACCTAGCAGCACGCAATATTCTTGTCAACAGCAACCTTGTTTGTAAAGTGTCAGACTTTGGCCTGTCCAGAGTTATAGAAGATGATCCAGAAGCTGTCTACACCACTACAGTAAGAAACACAGCCGTTTGACAATATTTCTTAAGGGTTAGGAGATCTTATTAGAAACTGGGCAATAGCCTCTTTCAGATATGGTTGAGGGAAATACATTAATGGCCTGAGAGGTGCTAAGTAGTCCAAGGGAGTTACAAGTTGTCTTCAGAAACCTGGCTTTAAATAACTTTCAGTAAATGTCTAATAACATAATCTTCTAGTGGGGAGAATTCTTGGAAGTTTTTACTGGTTTTAGTGTCTCACTCATATCTTTATAATTTTCTGAATGAATGGATATGGAAGGTTGATTTATAAAACTGTTTATCTCCTTTTTGAGCTAAGTAAAAGTATTTACACAGAAATCCAGGTATACTTCTTTTTCAGAGCTGAATTAATCTCACCTGAAAACTAACTAATGTAAGGCATGACTGAATCTTTGCTGCTACTCCCACATAAGGGATCTTCCCTTATTCCTGGTTGGGATCACTTTGCCATAGCTGTTCATAGGACACAGCTTACTCCTCTACTTTTTTGCCCAGCCAGCTCCACTTCCCATTCCTCCCTACCCTCACCCTGCTCACTTATGGTGTAGATAATAGCTGCCTCATGGAGCTGATCCCTCACTGGAACAACAATCCAGAGAGAACGCACAGTGGGCTAGCGTTGGCACTTATGCCACATTAATATTAATGACAATCTGGCCCTACATGATCAGACATGGATTTTGAAGGAGCCTTAAGAAATTTCAATGGGATTTGAACACCTAATTCCCGGAGAGTCAGACCCATTTGAAAATGAAAATTCCAACATCGATCAACTTTTGAGAATGGCATAATTTTGGTGCTAGGATTAATGGAAATTATTGTAAAAATGCCACTAAGAAAAACACTATGGAAATTTTATTTATAAACAAATCTTTTTTTTAAATAGGGTGGGAAAATTCCAGTACGATGGACAGCTCCAGAAGCCATCCAATATCGTAAATTTACATCTGCAAGTGACGTATGGAGTTATGGAATAGTAATGTGGGAAGTAATGTCTTATGGAGAGCGGCCTTACTGGGACATGTCAAATCAAGATGTAAGCTATACATTTGCTATATTTGTATGGTTGCATACATGTGTACATATCAATAAATGTTCATATCAATTTTTTTTCTTTCTACACACACAGACATAACTTGTTTTAATGCATAATAATTTTTGTAACAATATTCTAGGATTTTTATATAGTGAAAAATTAAATAGATGATTACTTAGCCAACAACATTAAAACTGTGTCATCTTCTTTGACACAAGTATGGGTTTTAGGTTTATATCATGAGTCTGAAACAGGATTGGGGCTCCAGAAATGATAAGACAGACAAGCACTTCTTATTTTATTACATTAAGCTTAGCAAGAATGACATGTTTTCATTCAAACAAGAATTCTTAGTTTCTTGAACTCATAATTATGGTTAGTCAAGTGGAAAAAGTTGTCCAAAGTCCAAGGCAACAGTTAATGATATACTCTAGCAATTTCACTATATTTTAACAATATTCTTGTTTGTATAAAATGTAACCTAAAGCAGCAGGTCATCAGTAATAGCACAGAATAGTATTAATCTTGAATTTCTTACAAGGATATTTGTTCACACTGACTCTATACAGAAACATAGGCCAGAATGATTCTCATTCCTAGTTGTTCATTTTTTTGTTTTGTTTTTATCGAATGCTCGACATCAGAGTTTAAAAAAAAAGAATATGAAAGTGTAAATGATGAGTCAGTTTGGCAGAGTGCAAAGTTGTTAATATTTGACAGGTCTCAGTGTCAAAGATTTCATGGACTGTCAAAATATGGGCAAACAAGTCCTTGGGGCAAAGAAAAAGAAATATTTACATTCCCTAGATGCCCAGTAGAGTTTCATTTCTTTTGACACCTTCCTTCTGTACTAGAGTCAAACATAAAAGGGGTCTGACAGGAATATAAGATGCCTCAAAGGTAAAGCTTACCTATCTTTCAGGGAAGAGTAAAGAAAAACTTTAAAACTGAAAAAAAAAATCCAGTATCTTCTTGCTGAATTTTGGAAATGTTTTTAATTTATTTCCTTGTGTTCTAAACAGCTGAGGGAAGCATGTAAATTATCCTTGTTCATAAAAACACTAATCTCAAATCCTTACAATGACAAAAGAAATGAAATGACATGTTATATCCCAATTAGCATGTAGATTAAGGATTTATAAATTCCTACTAAAATAATTTCAAACACTGATGTGTATTGTGATATGCAGGTGTACCCTATAACGAACACACTGTGTGCACATGCACACCAACTAACCCTGGAGACTCACCCGTGAGGCTAAATTTTAAAAACGGCCTCTAATTACCCACAATGAATTACAGTTACAACTAACTGCAGACACAAATGACAACACTTAAATGTGTCTTTACCAGATTTGCAGACACTGTCAGCAGTTTGTTCACTTAAATGCATCATTTGTGCCTACAATTGAGTGTGGATGCAGAATTACAGGCCATGCTGTGTTTCCTTTAAAAATATGCCTCATAAAGTTTGCTGAGTTTGGAGGGGGTTTTTTTAGCCTCTACTATACTGTTTTATCCTATACTAGCAGTTTCAGTGCCTTTGGATAGATTTGTGCGTAGCAACACAATCATGACTGTCTAAGCACATTCCTGTTCTCAATGGATATATCCATACAGAGCTGAGAAGTACTAGCTGAGCATTCAACCCAAGAGCAATCCTGCAATTGCACAGCAGGACGGCTCAGGGTGAGTGGCACAGAACCCTGCTCGCCACCTTTCTTCAGGCACAGTGCCTGTGCATTCCTAACCCTGGTTGCCAAAACTAGCAAACAGTAGTCACTAACTAGCCCAACTACTGCGCATAACCCTTCTCTGGTATCCATTAGAGCTTTGGTGTATGTCCTGTACAGGACTACTGGTGGACTTATGTGGAAGGAGGAGTTCACTACACTCCCTTTTTTCCATATTTGTGTTCCTCATAAGGCAGGATGTAGCCCTGCAAATGGATGTTTTTCCTTCAGTTACTCAACTGTTTTCTGTTGTGGCATTTTAAAAAAGGAGTGTCCCTGGCAGTAACCTGTTACAACAAACAAAGCATCACAGTACCCAGTTAACACAGCTCTGTCCCCAGAGCTGGTAGCGCCTTATCTGAAGCTAGGACTAGGCAAGTCCTCAGGCAGCCTGGGAATTTGGGAAGCACACAGGTGTCTAAAAGAAACAAACAATGGGCCAAGCACAGAAATGGAGGAACAGAGAATTGAGGCAAATGTAAGTGATACAAATCTGTGCTATTAGCATGAATCCTTGCTGTATTCAATTAGCTATATTTGTTTCTATAAACTATAATCATATAGTTTATAGAAAAAAATCCCTTAATTCATTCATTTTTATTTACTGCTTGTTATCTAGTTTAGAACGTTTTTTTTCCCCTTAGATATTAGTAATATTTTAAAGGCACCAAAGTTGCTAAAAATTTTAGCTATTAACCGTCAGTTTAGTTCTTTAAATCTTGAACACGCACAGACTACATTTTTAATCTTTTGGGAATCACCTTCTTCCTACTCCCACCATTCTGGCTATAGCCAAATCCATTCTTTTTTGTTTCCCGATTTGATCTTTCAGACTTGTTTGCTCACACCAGATGTCAAAGAAACTGGTCCTGCTGCATCCCTAAGGCCTTTCTAAAAATAATGTCATTATCATAGTCACTTCCTATCTTCTGGGATCTCTCCAGAACACAGTGAGCATGTAAAAATACCTACTAATGTGCCTCTCATTTCATTTGCCACTTCCTCTAAAGCTCTTGAATGTATGTTGTCATTCCTAGGAGTCTTGTCAGTTTTAAATCCCTTTAACCTTTTAATGGCTGTGGTGGTGTTGTCTGGATGCATTTTTATTATTCACTGATTGTCTCTACAAGCCTGACCTAAAACTGATACTTTTATAACGAGAGATACAAAAGAAGATTTTGATGTGTGTTTTTCTTCTATCTATAATTGCTGTATTCATTCTTTAGCATATCAGAATAGTGCTTATTTTTTCATTTGAATCATTTGTTGCTTTTAAATTTGAGGATTTTCCCCTTAAATCTTATTAATGGATCTTATCTTTTACTCTTTAAAATATTTTCCCTGTGTGTATACAGTACAACTCTTTCCATTATTTGTCCCCTCACCCTCCTGTTATCTGAGTGGCACTTGTACTATCTCTGAGTATTCTTCATCACTGTCTATCTTAGGTATTTATATAGCCCCCAATACTGAAGAGGCTGAGAACTTGACAGTTTTTAATGTATTTATTCTCACAACACCCTTGTGAGGTATGGAAGTGCTACTCTTTATTTTACGTATAGAGTACGCAGGCACACAGAGGCTGGGTGACTTGCCCAATGTCAGAAAGGAAGTCTGTGGCAGACAAGGGTCTTGAACACATCTCTGATGAGGGCCATTTCCATTAGACCATGTTTCCGGGGCCTTCACTTCCCCTCTGTAAAAGATTCTGATACAACCATTGATTCCAACCAACTTTCTGAAGTTCATTCTGCATTCTTTGCAGTTGCCTTTAGTTTGCAGTCCAGTGCTCTTGCACTTTCTCACACATCCTATGGAGTATTTTATAGATAAAGTTATTGTGTTGACTAAACCCTGGATATTCACCAACTTTTATTTATCACGGCAGATTCATTTCATAGAACTAAGCCCAGACCTGATCTTGGTTTCTCTACAAACTGAGAGGAAACAGTCCCTTCAAGAATCAGCACCCTTCCTTAGCAATTCTAATACAGTTATGTCAGTCAATGTCATTGTGCTTGAAATCTCCCATGAACAGTGTTTTAGCCCTTTTTACAAGCCTTTCTTTTCTGCATTGCTTCCTGACATGCTTTCTTATCCTGCCCGCAAGGTGCATAGCAGTTTCCTGTGATTTTTCTTTAATCATTTCTATCTTTCTCTTAAATCCAAATGGACTTGACCGAGGAAGTCAAACAGTGGGTGTAATTCTTGCTTCAGACATTATGTCCTCCCTCATATAACCATGTGCCACCTTCTCATATTAAGTCTGACCTTGCTTTAGACTGTTACATTAAGATATCAGTCAGCCAGGCCTCACTATGCCATTTCACATTGTTTGCCTCTAATAACACAGATTGGCATAAAATGCAAATTTTTCTTCCTAATAATTCCTGTCCACTAAATATTTCCTGATTTTTTTGGGCTTTTTGGATTTTGTGGGTAAATGCACAGACTCATATCCATTTACAAATCAGTCTTCAACTGCATTCTCTCTCTCAAAGGCCTTTGGGCAAATAATATTGCTTTCTAGAATATCTTCATCTATCCATTTATCTGTTGCACCCTAGGTGAATTTAATTGTTGCTCCCTGCTGCTGATTTGACTAGGTTATACAACCATGTTCTGCACACCATAGAGTAATATGTTTAATAATCATGGAAGATAAAAATCAAGGGTATTATATGAAGACAAGAATGCTAGTGTCAAAACAACAGACTCTGCTTTCATAATGCTTTGACTGCTTAATTTAGTTGCTTTATTTTTTCCCAGTTATTAAAATTCATTCTCTAAATATTTCTGCCTTGACGAAATCCTCTTGTTCTGGCCATTAGGTTATAAAAGCAATTGAAGAAGGCTATCGTTTGCCAGCACCCATGGATTGCCCAGCAGGCCTTCACCAGCTCATGCTGGACTGTTGGCAAAAGGAACGTGGTGAAAGGCCAAAGTTTGAGCAGATAGTTGGTATTTTGGACAAAATGATTCGAAACCCAAACAGTTTGAAAACCCCTCTTGGAACCTGCAGCAGGTAAGAAAACTGCCAGTGAGGGTTTATAATTCTCTGAATATATATTGACTCTGAATGTGTTCTGATTAGCTGCTGGCTCCAGCTCCATCCAGCTGCTCATCCTGCTACTCTCTTTTCTTCCTTCCCTTTTTGTTCCTTCTCTCCCCATTTCTGCCCTACATGTCATTCAGTAAAAATAAAATCCACACAAAAATGACTTAACTAAAACAAAAATACCAAATAAAAGAAAAAAAAAATCTTGCCACTAAAATTCGTCCTGTTGGCAAACCATCACTCTGTTCACTCTGCTTGTATGTTCTATCCCATTTCCGCCTCTTTTCTCCCTCCCCCCACCCTTGTATGTCTTGTCTATTGAGACTATAAATTCCTCAGGGCAGGGACCATCATTGTCTCTGTGGTTGCATGACGGGGTCCTGGCCTCTATGCACTGCTGCAATAAAAATAATAGTAGTAATACAGTTAAGCTTGGAAGAATTTGATTTTTATCGGTAAACTTCAATTTCACTGTGCTCACACGCAAACTGATGACAAAATATTTCCATCAGTAATCAATGTTTACAAATGCAAAGTGAGAAAAAGGCAGCTTGAGAACTTAATTAGAGTTTGATTTAAGGATATTTATTTTGACATGTGATGTTGACAATTTTTTTTCAGCGGTTAAAAAGCTAACTTTTTGAATCTCAATGTCAGCTGTCATTAAATAATTATTGTCTGATCCTACCATTGTCTGAGCCCCTCCCCCCGCAATTTCCCAGAACTGTGAAAATGTAATCAATAAAAATAAAAAAATGCTTAAAAATAAACATGGATATTTTCTGTCAAAATTATAAAAAAGAATCAAATTCTGCCAAGCTTAAATACAATGTCTATATAAAGAACAGGAGTACTTGTGGCACCTTAGAGACTAACAAATTTATTAGCGCATAAGCTTTCGTGGGCTACAGCCCACTTCTTCAGATGCATATAGAATGG